TCAACCTCCCTGCCAAATCTGAGGTTACTAAGCCAGTGCATTGCTAAGGTATGTATTCTACATGCTTCAAATGTAAAAATGTCAAAATCAATACATTGCGGACAGGACATTCTTTAGCAATTAAGAAGAAAAGCTTTATTTGTTAAGGTCCCTGTGACCTTGACCTTTGACCCAGTGACCTCAAAATCAATAGGGGTCACCTTATAGTCATGACCAACATCCGTACCAAATATGAAGACTGTTGGTCAAAGGAATCTTATGTTAATGGGTGGACAAACTTTTTGAAGTCAAAGTCCCTATGACCTTGACCTTTGATCCAGTGACCTCAAAATCAAAAGGGGTCATCTACTTATCATGATCAATATCCATGCCAAATATGAAGACTGTAGGTCAAAGGAATCTAAAGTTATTGCGCAGACAAACTTTTTGAAGTAAAAGTCCCTGTAACCTTGACCTTTGACCTGGTGACCTCAAATTCAATAGGGTTCATCTACTAATCATAGCTAACCTCCATGCCAAATATGAAGACTGTGAGTCAAAGGAATCTTAAGTTATAGGGCGGACAAGCTTTTTGAAGTTAAGGCCCCTGTGACCTTGACCTTTGACCTGGTGACCTCAAAATCAATAGAGGTCATATACTTATCATGACTTACCATCATGCCAAATATGAAGACTGTGGGTCAAAGGAATCTCAAGTTATTGGGCGGACAAGCTTTTTGAAGTCAATGCCCCTGTGACTTTGACCTTTGACTTAGTGACCACAAAATCAATAGGGGTCATCTACCTATCATGACTAAACTCCATGCCAAATATGACGACTGTAGGTCAAAGGAATCTTACGTTATTGGGCGGAAAAGCTTTTTGAAGTTAAGGCCCTTGTGACCTTAACCTTTGACCTGGTGACCTCAATGTCAATAGGGTTCATTTACTAATCATGACTAACCTTCATGCCAAATATGAAGACTGTGGGTCAAAGGAATCTTAAGTTATTGGGCGGACAAGCTTTTTGAAGTCAAGGCCCATGTGACCTTGACCTTTAACTTGGTGACCTCAAAATCAATAGAGGTCATCAACTTATCATGACTTACCATCATGCCAAATATGAAGACTGTGGGTCAAAGGAATCTCAAGTTATTGGACGGACAAGCTTTTTGAAGTCAAGGCCCCTGTGACTTTGACCTTTGACCTAGTGACCACAAAATCAATAGGGGTTATCTACTTATCATGACTAAACTCCCTGCCAAATATGACGATTGTAGGTCTATTGGGCGGAGAAGCTTTTTGAAGTTAAGGCCCTTGTGACCTTGACCTTTGACCTGGTGACCTCAAAATCAATAGTGGTCATCTACTTATCATAACTTACCATCATGCCAAATATGAAGACTGTGGGTCAAAGGAATCTCAAGTTATTGGGCGGACAAGCTTTTTGAAGTCAAGGCCCCTGTGACCTTGACCTTTGACCTAGTGACCACAAAATCAATAGGGGTTATCTACTTATCATGACTAAACTCCATGCCAAATATGACGACTGTAGGTCAAAGGAATCTTACGTTATTGGGCGGACAAGCTTTTTGAAGTCAAGGCCCCTGTGACCTTGACCTTTGACCTAGTGACCTCAAAATCAATAGGGGTCATCTACTTATCATGACTATCCTCCATGCCAAATATGAAGACTAAGGGTCAAAGAAATCTTAAGTTATTGGGCGGACAAGAAAAAACCGACGGACAGCCGGACGGCCGGACAGCCGGACGGACAGACAAGCTGATTCCAGTATACCCTCCTTACAACTTTGTTGTGCGGGGGTATAAATATTACGTAACGTCAAACATTTTATGCGACTTTTTTCACCATACATATGACGTAATTAAAGATAATTAACTCGCTGATTGAGCAAATAAAAATCCCTGACACGGTAAATGAATTCCCTTTCATGTACTTTAAACCGCATGTTAATTGCTTGATTATTAAAAAAGTTATGCCGATTCAAAGTTAGTCCGACCCGCAACAAACAAAGTGTCATAAATCGGTTGTCTTCTCTCGGAACCCTACGTTTCACGCTAAATAATTGCACAATACACAAATATTGCACCAGAGAGGGCCACAAGTTGCGGTAAGATACTCTAATAACATTTTATGACCCAGTGACATCTGACCAATTAAAAAGCTGCTGATTAATATCAGTTTATAACATAAATTTCTTCAAATCTTAACGTGATTTACCGTCCGTCTGGTATCGGTCGCACATGCCACGTGACTTTCGGAAAATTTTGAGGCACACGGTGGGGGAAATGGAATGTATTTGCGCACCGCTAGCGGGGTATTTAATTGTTTCACTTTTGAAGTTTATTATTATAATCATCAGCATTATTTTTATATTATACCAATCTGTCTGTGTATTCGTGTATGAAATTCCGTTAAAATAAATTAAAATAACAAAAAGCTGAGTTTCTAACGGTCTTTTAAAGTCCATGGCAGATGTACAAATAAGAACAGGATATTATATATTTTTTCCTCCAAATTGATATAAATGCTTCACATATTTTAATAGAAATAAAAAGTATCACTCGGTCATTATGATCTGACCTTCTTGACTTCTATTATCATGAATACACGTATCATCCATGCACGACATAGAGATCCAGTTTCTACAGGGATATACAATAAATTCCATACTTTGTCCCAGGTTTATTAGTTCTGTGCTCGATTCACTGGCGAACAATTTATTCAAAGCATTCACTGATAATATATTTCATAATCTTTTTTATTGATTCATAGAGAAATAATCATCCTTCGACAACCTAAAGGGACACCTTACCACAAGTCACATAGGCGTTCACATAAAAATGTTGTCTGTTTTTGTTGTTGTTTTACTTGACATTGTTAGAAAACGAGGTTGAATGTTAAGCAAGTCCTTGAATCTGTAAAAAAGTCCATAAACTCAATGTAATATCTACCAGGTTAACAGGACAGACAAATTATTTTCACATATTATGGATATTTTAGCAACTATATTTCTAATCAACCCCGTGGTCGTGCGATTTGCCGCTAAGCTTAATTATTTATGTTTCATACATTATGTTACGTACATTGGCCGATAATTTCTTATTTTATAAAAAAGGCTTAATATATGGTAGACGATATTCATAAAAGATGTACGATATACGAGTAATATGGGCCAGTATGGCATATATATGGAACTACCAATTTCCCTCATTGATGCCTCAACAGGGGGCGGAACGTTATCGATAATTGACAGGTAACGCGAATAGCAGATAAAAATGGTACAGGTACCGTTTTAAAACACTTAAAAACACATTTTTTTGACCAACTGCTTCCAAAATTAAATCACGATTGTGTTCAGAAAACGTTGATGAACCTACTAAGCAAAAAATCTCATTTTAAGTATTTTCAGTGATAATTGACCACGTTGTCACCTTAAAAGAATTTTCATATATATTTCTATATATGCAAGTAACATGAACATTTTCATTGGTATTTTCAAGTTATGTGAAGTATTATGACTTTTGCAAGTCCACATGCATTTTTAAGTCATAGCGGGCAATCAGAACGTGTCAGCTATTGATCATGTTGATACTCTCGGACTTAATACGGATTAACAGAGTTGCTACACGAGGTTTGACAATTATTACCCACTGCTGTAGAATTATTAAGAAAGTACGAATTAATGTCAACATGTATATATTTTGTTCTTTCAGTTTCTACAATCATGACAATGAGTATATAAATAATGTACTGTTTACATTTACTTAATTAAGGTGGACTTTTACTTGACACATTGAAATAAACTTTAGCCATCAAGTCCCAACATCAAATTACTATTTGTTTACATGAGAAGTTTCTTAGCGTAGGTAAGACCAAAATACCATATCCGCTCTGTTATCCGTAGTATGACGGAAAATTGCGATTTTATAGCGATTAGTTTTATATGGTATTGCAGACGAAGAAGAACAAGACTTTCAAAATCAAGACAATATTGTAACGAATCTTATTAACTGAGAAACACATACCCTGTAAGATGTTGCATGGAGAACTCCATCCAAATGTGGATAATATACTTAACCAAAATCCAAGTCATCTCAATCATATACATGTATTTTGGTATGAATAGTATAGTTTTGGTCTTTTATATAAGGATTCAAGATTGATGTTCAGAGATTTAAAGAATTCGTTTTATTCAGTTGAAACTACATACTAGGACAAATATAAGATATCATTTAATCAAAGTAATGGTATCCAAATTAAGAATATCATCAAGGTATCTGGAAGTGTTATAAAATGTTATAATAAAATCTTGTATATCTGGAGAGAGGCTCAATATGAGCAAAAAAAAACCAGCGACTAGCGATGCATAAATTGTACTCCTAGGGTAACAAAATCGAATAACATGTATTTTAATGTCAGTCAGATAAGATGTCAATAAAATAGAAAGTTTACTTCTGGTGCAAAACGTAGACTTCATAATGATTATTGCCTTGTAAGATTTTTAATGCAATTTAAATGAATGACACACTTTAAATTTGATACAAAAATAGTAAATGTAGTTTTCATTTAATAGAAATGTTCACGGAATCGATCTTAAAGTTTTATTAGTAGTAACTGTTTATAAATTAACACTCGATTTATCTGCAAATTTTTTACTAAAGCTAGGTTTTTTTAACAATATCTCGATATAAGATTAAAATTTTTCCGTCTGACTAGAAGTTGGGCATTGAAGTCTTACAATAATAATATAAATATATCTGATAGTTACAAACTATACTTTAACTAAACATAAACCAATATTGGCATTATGGTTTCTATCTTAATTGAATAAAGTGCCACACCATAATAGCAAACTTTATTTTATCTGTAAATTTGACCTGTTAAAATCATCGCATGCCAAATACGTTCATGTTTAAAACCAACTATAGATCTGAAGATAAATAGATATACCTCTATACCTGATCCTTGATCACTTTGTTATTAAATTGTTCTTTCTTAACCGGATTAAACCAGGCAATATAATTATTAGATTTAACGGTACGTGTGCACCTCTTAGATGGATATAACTGAAACACGTATCACATTCTTAACGTAAGTAATTTATTATAAACGTTGTAAAAATAGCTTTACTAATTAAAAATCATTGACTGTCTATTTTGTGTTTGTATTTTCTGTTTTCACGCTAATTTTCAACACATGTTTGGCCATACATGTACCTCGGCAGTCGATCTCGCCGGTTTTCTTCAGATACCATTACATACCGATACATCCGCAAGTGACCTTACACAAGCCCGAAATGATATCTGAAATCAGCAACTTTTAACATCTGTGTTAGATTATTTAGACAGTTGGACACATTTTTCTCTCAAGTTTGTTATTGGCTTCTACTTAGCTTAGAAAAAAGAGTTTGCATTTATAGATTACAAAAAGCCTTTGATACTGTGAATCGTTTGGCCTTGTGGCGAAAACTGTTAAGTAACTTTAGTGATGGAAATGCTTAGAAATTATATACAACATGTACTCTAGTGTCAAATCTTGCGTCAAAGTTGGCAATAATTTATCTGGCTTTTTACCAGTCACACAAGTGTGCGACAATGGGGAAATCTTTTCCCTGTACTATTTTCATTGTTCTTGAATGGTTTAGCAATGTTTATGTCTTTGAAGTTTGAAGGTCTAGAAACATTGTCGAAACCTACTTTTGATACCTTAAGTTTTAGTTGTATTTAACTATACTAAGGTTTGTACATTATATTGTATGCTGATTTACAAGATGCATTATTTGCAATGCAAGACTTTTGTGCTGCGCTATGGGGATTAACTATTGGTGCTGCTAAAAATAGCTTGTTAGGTTAAGTTAATCCAAGTTAGATAAGCATAATTTTGATTTTTTATGATAATATTAAACTTGTCATTGTTGATGACCTTTTTTATTTTGGTGTTCAGTTTAATTTTAATGGATACTTTTCAAAAACAAAGAAACGTCTTGTTGATCTAGTCAGAAAGGCTATGTTTTCATTAATCACTTAAGCTAGGAAATTCAACTTGCCAATTTCTCTTCAAGTACATCTCTTTGATTTTTTCATTACTACTATTTTGTTGTATGGTACGGAGGTACGGTCTGTTGAAAATATTAATATATTTAAGTCCTTTCAGCTTAAATTTTGTAAATTCATATTGACATTTAAACCATCTACACCTTGGGAAAGTGAAACTTATTCTTGAACTTACTAAAACCAGATTGTTGGGACATTGAGAATTTAGCGTAATTAAGAATCTTAAATAAATTAAATAAAGAAAATGAAGCATGTTGTGAAATACATGTTTTGGTGCGAAACCAGTTACCATTTTAAACAAAGTCATTCCGAGATATTTAAAAGAGGGAACTATTTCAATTAGAGTGTTGTGAATATAAAAATCAAATGTCGTTTGTCTGCCACGTTCAAAAAATCATAGCTACCCAATATTGTCCAAAAGATAATTAATGCATGCGGTACATCTTAATGTGGACAGTTAACGATATTAAATTCAAAGTCATCGCTTTTATCATAGATTTTTGTTACATAGAGGATAATGAATGAGTGTAATTTAATACTAACATAACTGAACGAGTTGAATAAAATCATATTTTGCGAGCCTTTGGCGAATATTTTATTCAACTCAGTCAATAAATTTAGTATTGAATTTACATGAATATAATATTCTATTTATCACATTTATATAAATGTATAGTAATGTATAGCCCAAATGACGTCACGTCAAAGTATTATTACACTAGTGTCATAACGTTTGTATTAAATGGCTTTATTACACTCCTGCGCCGCGGTTTATGTGATAATATAGTATATTAGATCATTAAAACGATCATATGCTTTTATGAATTCACACAGTGCGTAAAATGTCATTCTACTACAAATCAACATGTATCTGTAAACAATATATCAAATGACTTATTCGTTTAATACTTTATCCGCCAACAAAAACACCGATATTCTGACAGCCTTATTTTGAAATTATTTTCCTAGTATTCTTGTAGGTTGTAATTTGTACTTCTAATTTTATTTTTAATTCAGATAGGGGTCTTTTCTCAAAATGGCCGATGGAGCTGCAGGAAACGGAAGTGACGGTAAGAAAGTTAAAGAATTTAAATCAATTTACATAAAATATAAAAGATAAATTTCGACTGAAAATATCTAAAAATTACGGCTTATAAACAATCAATTTTCAACCTATTATTTTAGCGTTATAACACGACGTTATAACACGAAAAAACGTGCTTTAATCCTATAATATTTTCTTTTATCATATAATTCTAAAATGATATCTAAAAGATTACTGCCGCCACAGGTTTAATCCTTAACAGCTCTTAAAAACAAATCGGCGCTGATTGTGTAAGCAGCGCAACGGCGTCATCCTCAGTATACAACTCATAAAGGCGCATTTTAAACTTACAAGACTGATAAATGAAGTACTGATGTAAACCAAATACAATCCAGTCTGACACGTAAGATTTAATATAAAGAATAACCTTTTTCGACGTAGTCGTATTCTTTTGATTTGAATTTCAGTTTGTATGGACACGCAACTTACTTCGTTATAATGTGACCAATCAAAATCTGCAAATTATTGGCTAGCGTTAATGTACCGGAATAAGCAGTGTATTCTCCAGGCCTCTGACACAAAATTTCTTTTATTTTTTATATCAAAGTTACATGTATTTATAATAAATCCTGTTGCAAAAAAAAAGAGAAAATAAAAACAGAACACTTTATGTCAAGGTTTCTGGACGATACGAAGATCAATTTTATATTCTATTCAACGAACTGTTGTTCGGTCGTACATGCAGAAAGTTTGAAGGAATTCGTTATCTTATATGTACAAAAATGACTGCTTGCTACTGAATTAAAAAAATTTAATAAAAAGATATTACATATTACTTCTTTTGTTAAGCCGCCTCCGTGGTCGAGGGGTTAGAGTCGATGACTTCTAATCCAGGTACCTCTCTGGCGTGGGTTCGATCCCCGGGAGATGCTTTGGTAGTTTAGCGCGGAGGAAGGTAGTCTAGTACTGGTGTAACTCTCCAGAAACGATGGTTAGGAAACTACCCGCCTATATGACTGAAATACTGTTGGAAAAAGGCGTAAAATGAAACAAACAAACAAACAAAAAACTTCTTTTGTTTTTAGCAACAGTAGTGAAATTGAAGCGTTATTCAAAAATCGCCAACGGAAGTAATTTACCTACGGCCTTCGTGGTCAATTCCTGCGCATCGGTTTAAAATACAGTCAGGTGCAAAAAGTACTGGTGATTTTGGCCGCCATATTGGATTTATCTGAATCAATCAATCAATCATAGATTTCCTTCATTTAAACAAGTTACTAGTTTGCTCAAACCACAGAAACCAATTGTTTTCTTACCTTAGTACTTAGTCAAGTGTCCTTTCAGTCTCATAACTGACATTAACCTTTTGGGTAAAGACAAAAACAGGCTCTGAACATAACTGTTAGGAATAAACATCCATATCCTCTGAATTTCACTAACTAGTTCGTCAGGTGATTGTGCAGGCCAAGAAATGGACTTTAAACTGCTGTCAGCTTTATATTTTTGAAATAAGCAAGATCTGTGAACTTGAGCATTATCATCTTGAAATAAATAATTATTATCAGGAAAATGTCTTACAGTAACAGGCCAAATGTTGTCCTTAAGAATGTCTTTGAACTTATCAGATTTTTTTAATTCCTGTCACTTTACTTTAGATCCCCACTCCATGCCAGCAAATGCACCCCCATATCATAACTTGAAACTTCCTGTTGCTCTTAGGTGGTATCAAGTCTGGTCTATAGCTTTCACTGTTCTTACGCAACACATGTGCTCTGCTATGATCATTACCAATAACTATCTGACTTTCATCTGAAAATATAACCTTATCCCACTGTCCATTTACTGTCCATTTTCTTTTATTTAAACACCAAGCCAGTCGTTTCTTTCTGTTCCCACAATTGTCGACCACACGCTTTCTAGCAACACGTCTATGAAATCCATGCTTCCTCAAAAGATATTGTACTGTACGTATAGACACTTTTTAACTTCTTTTTTCATTAAAAGTCGATGTAATATCACTTAATATGTCTCTTCTGTTCACCTTAACTAAACGCTATAGTTGACGATAATCCCTGCCAGTCACAAGTTTTGGCCTGCCACAACTTTGTCGTCCCTTCGTGTTTTTGCATTTTCGCAATTTGAGGCTAAGAAGCAACTATACGACATGGCGTAAATCAGCCACCATAGTGTATTTAGTTTATTTGATATTTACATCTTACTTTCTAATATTTGAAGACTGTCCGGATGACAATACAGAACGCATTGCAAAAGCGGTGTGCGAAATGCTGCAACCAAAGCTTGATTATCTAAGCAATAGATTGGACGTTCTGTCCTATGATAGGGACAATTTAATGAAGCAAATACAAGATAAAGAAGGAGAGATTGAAAGAAAAAAAAGAGAGCTCCTACAAGTTAAGGCAGAAAGGGAAAAAATAGAGTCTTCCAAAGAGATGGCATTGAGAAAAAAGGAAAGGAGGATAGAAGAATTGGAAAATGAATTGAAGGCATTGAGAGGAGAATTGAGTGAAATTCAAACCAAATTACAGCTCAAGGAAAATCAACTGGTAGCTGAAAGAAGAAAAAGAGAAAAGGAGGATGGTAATTTGTTTTAAGTTATATTAATATTGCCCTTAAGTCCAACCTATCCATCTGAATGTGAATTGTACATAGAAGTAAATATTCAATGTATGTATGACCAATATCTTTTTATTTTTAGATACTAGTATATTTGTATGAATTGGTTTTACTTTATTTACAAGATAAGTGAATTATTTATGATATTCTCACATAAAGCAGTATTGATCTTGCTTCACTTTTATGATTATGTCTAAAAGAATAATAACGTGCTCGTTAGTAAAACTAAATTTGCGGTGGCATATACGTGACATTTGCAGGTTTTTTTTATCATATTGTGATCAATAACTTATTATTTTGTGACCACAACTTATCATCTTATCGCCTCAAGGTATTATATTGTGGCCACAAAATATCATCTTTATTTTAGCCAATTCATCTTTTACAAACGTTAATATCACACTGGCTATAGGTTCGCAGAAGCGGCGGAAAATAAAACTGTGGTGGTGTATACGGGAAACGTTTAATAATTATTATTGTCCCTCATTTTTGTATGGTCAGGTGTTTCTATCATTCTTCTTTAAAGTATGTAATTAAAAATAGAACCTGTTGTAAGATCGCTGACTTAAAACACTCGCCCCTCTTTCCTGTGGATTCGAATCCCGTTAGAGATCTGTATCTGATGAATATTTTTGAAGATATATTTCGATGTCTTAATGATAAATGACTAAATTTGACGTGATTTTTTAAATCATTCTCTTTCAAACTGACAGAAACATCTTTCAAAAACTAATGTCAATTCTTTAAGATATTCTTCCCTTTGATTCTGTTTGTTAATATTCCAAAACTACGGCAAGAAAAAATGACAGAACACGTTTGGCTTTACTATACAATTCTTGACTTGATCAAAACAGTTCCTCGACATGGAATATTTTCAGCATACAATAAAAACAGTGAGAGTGAAAATGCAAACATACAAATTTAACATTTAGCATTGTCAGTTATATACAATATTCATATTTTTGTTTCTGATACCATATGATTTTATATTTCAAAGTATCAAGGATGTCCCTTGTTGGGACTGTGTTTTGGTAAACAGGTAAAACATTTTTTGGAAATACTTTAGGCTTATGCAACCTTCTAAATGTACTCGCCTTCCACATGATCTACGGTGCGCTAAAAAGTCTTAAAAAAGTGATCCCTCGGAAGCATTTAAACATCAAAATTACATGAAAATTGCAGACTCAGTTTGATTGAGAATCATCCTTCAAGTCAAGTCATTTTCAAGTCAACCTCCAAATTATTTGGACCTGAATGATTATGGACATTTTAAAAATATTACCGATTTACTTCTACTTCTACTAAAAGGGATGTTAAGATTTTATGTTTATTTATATAGCGCTACACATAACGTAATAGATCAGAGACTAAAATAAATCAGCATAAGTATAAACAAACTGACTTATAGTCCCGGCAGAAAGAAGCAAATCTGTTTAACAAAGGTTGTGATAAATAATTGGATGAAAATCGGATCGAAATCGTGGATTCCATCATTGTTGATTGATCAAAAATTGAAATATTCTCGTGTCAAATCAGTAGGGCCTTCCGAATTGGTACAGTAGTTAACCCAAGCCGGAATCCGCCCCCCTATAGAAGACCATCGACTCGTCAAATTCTAGCAAATTTCAACTCATTATCAGTCGATTAGGTGTAACTTATTTTGTAAAAAAAATCAACACTTCCTAAAGGAACGCATATAGGAATTTCTATGGACTATCCAAAAGAAAATATCGGTAGTTGTGTCCGCGAGATAATATTTTGAAGTCTCAATATAGTAAGTTGTGGCCACAACATTATAAGTCGTGGCCTCAAAATAAAATATTGACGCCTCAAGACAAAAAGTGGTGGCAACACAAAATGATATCTTGAGGCCACAAGATGAAAAACTGTGGTCACAAAATAATAAGTCGAGGACACTACATGAAAAGTTGTGGCCTCAAGATAAAAACGATACTACTAATGTCACCTATATGTCCCCATTGTTGTTCAACTGAAAATATCACATATAACTTAAATGTATGTAAAAACAATGCTAAGCCTCTTACAACTGCTATCACGTTTTCTTGTCGTTGTTATTGTTTGTTTGGGTTTTTTACCTTCAGCAAAATATACATTATTCTGCTATAAATCGATTTTGTAAATTTGCAGATCTTGCAACTAAGATAAACAAAGCAAAACAAGAAATGCAAGAAAAATTGCGCCAAACTGAAGAATTTAAGATAAAATTGGAGGAGTTAAAGAATAAAAAATGATTGTATAAAAGTACAAAATGTACATGAAATTCAAAATAATTATTTACGAAAATCATTTTTACTTAAATGTTCATTGTAAAAAAAAAGTGGTTTTGATTCATATTTTGATTTCAATTTTATTACGATCTAATGATTGCATAATGAAAAACTGCTAAGAAATTGAATCAAATAACTATTGTATCTGAAAAATGTTATATTATTAAACGCGGTACTACCTGTCTCATTCAAGATAGCATAAAATACCTCGAAAAAGAATTGGAATCTGCAACCAATGCAAAAGTAGACGCACACAAGCAACTGAACAGAGCAAAGGTGGCATATCAACAAAGGAAAAGTAAAATAAATATTGAAGAATACAAGAGAAAGAACCTGAAATGACTGTATGTTATTTCGCAAGGATAATGAACAATCGGTGTCCTTCATTAATTTTTAACTTATAAAGATTTTGACAGGTTATTTAACCTCAAGTATTTAAGTTTGTAGACAATGTTACTCTTTCCGTAAGGAGATGTTTATATTTGAAACAACCTAAATCAAATAAAAAGGTCTTCATAACAAATTTATAATACTGCACCAATTGTTTCCTTTTAACAGAAAATAATTTATAATTTCGCATCAGGCAGGTTTATTGATAAAGATAAACGTTACTATTATCCAATTTAAATATATGTTACAAAACAGTGCATTTTGTTAAATTAACACAATATGACTTTGTATGTAAAAAATGCAGTGTATGATCTATATAGTTTATAAATGTATTACATGTAATTAATTATCTTTCTACAAACGATTCTGTAATTAATACTGTGATTGATTCACTGAAACCTTTGCTTGAAATAAAGATTATTTAAAAAAATGAAATTGCCGTTCATGTTGTACTTCCTTTAAGGTAAGCCATCATTTTTTCCTGGTTAGGGTAGCGACTGCCATAGAAAAAAGAACATGAAAATGAAAAGTTAGAAACAATGTTTACTCATTCTTTATTTTCTACATTTAGCATGGACAACTAAAAGCTTCTTCGACCAATTACTAGAGTATGGCATACCCTCCACGATTTAGAGTAAAGGTTGGTCATGACTATTTAATGACCCCTAATAAATGTCAAAGGTCAAGTTTTTCATGGTTTTGGCAATAAAAAGCCTGTCCTGTCAATGATTAGACAACGTTTTGAAATAGAGAGGTAATCTTAGGTGTAGAAGTTGGCCTAGTAGATGACTCTTATTGATTTTGAGTTAATGTATAAAGTCGCACTGACCTCTTCAAGCTTTTCCGATCGCTAGCAAGAGATTGTTTTTAATAATTTTTTATTCACGTGTATTTCTTACTTGTTTTGCAGCAAAAGAGTTTGTTGCAATATATGGGACCAGCTTTTTATATATATGAAATCACCATATTTAGCAAAAAGATTTGCACGTAGAACATAAACAGTCTCATATCTAAGACAATTACAAATGTTCAACCAAAGATCTTTGTTCACATTCAAGTCTAAACCTAGCTTATAAAGCTATATAATTGCCAATTAAACAAAGGTGGTTGGAATAAAGCCGTGACTTTAGTATGATCTCTTGCTAAAACAAATATAATGGTCAGAAATATGAAATGAAATAAAAATTGTAAAGAAAAAATATGTGTAAGGGAGCTCCCAAGTAAATGCATTGATAGCTTCACAGCAATGTTATTGCTGAGAAATATGATAATAAGCTCTGAAACATGCTAAACTCTGTTTCGGCATGTCAATAAGAGGTCAGCCATTAAGAGTGTAAATCGGCATGGCACTGGACAAGAGCTATAGAGAAATCAGGACACATAACTCCTATTCAATCTTATGACAATGGAAACTATTCAGACAAATCTTAAAACATCAATAATTGTTTTTGCTAAATATAATTTTACGTAAAATTTGCGACTGGATAAAGCACACTAATATCAATTATACAAACGATGAAAGCAATTATAGAGAAATAACACTGTTAATACCTAATGGAAATTATTTACGCGGATATTGAATAATAGGTTAACAGAATGGGCGGAAAAATCGGGTTTTTATGTTGAAGCGCAATCGGGGTTTAGATCAAAAATTGGTACTAAAGATAATGTTTTTGTACTTCGTGGTCTTATTAGTCATATGTTTAATAACGGGAAACAACGTTTTTGTGCATTTATTGATTTTAGTAAAGCCTTTAGTTATGTTTCCAGAGATAATTTATGGTTAAAATGATTTAGTTACGTATTCGTGAAAACATGTTAAACATCATCATATCTATGTATTCAGCAGTTAAATCTAGAGTTAAATATTATAACCAAAAAGGTGAGCGATTTCAACTTATGCTAGGTGTACGACAAGGCGAGTGCTTTTCTCCCTATTTTTTCGCAATATTTCTTAATGATTTAGAAGCAATATTTATTGAGGTTTTGAAGGCATTGATGTTCACATGTTTAAAATGATTTATAATCTTATATGCAGATGATAGTTGTATTGAATATTCTAACACGACCCATATTTTTCCCTTTTGAACATGAACGAATCGAAAGTGTGTGTCATTATGCAATAGAGTCATTGTTTGACGTTCTATATTAAGACATGTGACGTAATCATTATAAATGTAGCGTAACCACTATAAAATCCGACGAGCTGACAATAAGTACGGAAATAAATCAGGCACAATTTTGCTAAATAGCAGGTACGGCAGCATTTATTTGTTTATGTCATGTTAGAATCGAAATAATATATACAAATCGGTGATTTTATCGCTGGATAACATCACTGTTTGTCGTTCGAATGCGCATCATTATATCACTCGGGCTACGCCCTCGTGATATAATTCCTCGCATCCGAACTCCAAACAGTGATGTTATTGAGCGATAAAATCACAGTTTGGGATATGTTATTTCTTAAACAAAAAAGTTTAGATGCACTATTCGAATATTGGTGTAAGTGGAAACTTGTTGATAAGTCAGAAAAAAAAACTAAAATAAAGATTTTCGCAAAAGTGGCCGTTAACAAAGTAATATTTCGTTTAGTTATAATGGTAATCCTGTTGAAATTGTAAGTAAGTTCACTAACTTAGGTATTGTTTTTACAACCGGTGGTTCTTTTTCCGAAGCTCAAAGTACATTTGCTGGACAGGCCACAAAGGCAATATTTCGAACGAATAAGTATTAATCTAAATTTATGGATATACATTTTGTATCTGTTAAAATAGGTTAAACCTTTTTGACAAACTTGTTTCTCCTATTCTTAATTATTGTTCCGAGGTTTGGGGGTTTATACCTGGAAAAGCTATTGAAAGGATGCACATGCAGTTCTGTAAAAAATATGTTAGGGGTTAAGAAAACAACTCAAAACGATCTCATTTATGGTGAACTGGTTAGGCTTTCTTTTCAAAATATAAGTTTTATCAACAATATTAAATTATGGTTAAAAAATGTGAATCTAAATGATAATAGATATGTTGGAAAATTGTACTTTATGTTTTAATTAAAGAAGATATAGAAAATAATCCTAATCACAAAAACTGGTGTTCTCTAGTGGAAATTTACTTAGTAATCTTGGTTTTTTATGATGCTTGGCTTTTCCAAACTGTTGGAAACCCCAATGTTTTTTAATCTAGTGAAGCAAAGAATTACGATCTCGTAAAGATCAGTTTTTTACAGATTGGGATAATAGACTTCAGTTTACAAAAGAGCTAATTTTTATAGGTGCATTTCAAATTTTCAACTACAGCCATATTAAAGCTTAATTACCATTAGAAAATATCGCATAATTAGGTATTTCAAAATTAAGGTATCGTCTCATAGTTTATAAAGAAATGGGGAGGTGGACGAAACCTACATGCACTCCTTTGAATGAAAGGGTATGTTATAACTGCAATTTCATAGAAGATGAATATCATTTTGTTATAGAATTTGCAATGTAGACGAAAGAAGTATATATCTGGTTACTATTGGAGTCGTCCAATTATGTTAGAATTAATAGAGCTATTAAATTCTGAGAACTTGAAAGTAAAGAGAAATCTGAATATTTTTGTCAATAAAGCTTTCGAAATTAGAACAAGCATACTTTTGAATATTCACACATGAATTGTAGCATGCATGTATAATTGTTATTATTTGAATCCAAGAAACAAAGGTTAATTAATTAACTATCTAACCGTATCAGAAGTCTTGTGTTTCGTTTTTGTAACAAGACTTTAATTTTCCTTCACATGAATCTTGTTTTTATATATATATATATTGAGTATAATTTTGTAGTATGTTTGCTATAGATCTTTCACACTTTATTTTGATACTTTCGAACGTCAAGACAGAAGTTAGGATCTACGGATTGATTTTATAGAGACTTCTTAATTATTATACTTTGATAAGCTCACCTGGTAGTAGTTACCAAAATTATACTTAGAAACGTCGATCACACATTTTGCTACTATTCTATTTGTGTCAGTGAATATATAAACTTATCACATTGTATGAAGTAAATTTATATTAATGTGCATTGATTATATATAGAAATAGAATATCTATATTCTGACATTTACTTCGGATGAATTGTAGCAGATAATATTGTTAAATATCTATTATGTACTTAACTGCTGATTTCTTTATACATGTATTCATTTTTTGTTAATATGTTGATTCCTTGTAAATATATTGTCCTCATGGGTTTATAACCTTCTGGAATTTCCTTGAATAAAAATCTCAAAATCTAAAAAATTTACAACATATCGACACTATTAAAGATATCTTCCAGTTTTCAGCTTATCGAATATGAATACAAAAAAGATTATATTTTGAATCAAAGAAGTGAGTACTGAGAACAGTAG